ACTTCTGCACTCCACAGCAAGTGGAAATATTTTCCTATTAAATGCTTCATCATCACAGATCTATAGAATGGTTAGAGAACTGAAGGAGACCATTCTAACCCATCGTGTCTGTACATGGTTCTCTGTCAGAACAGTTGGCTCGCTTTGAACAGAAGGTTAATGTAACAATGTCACCTGTCCTCAGGGCCTTGGATGCACTTGTACGCACAGTCACCATTGTAGACATTAGATCGGCCTTCTTAAGAGTGAACCCATGGAAAGCGACTCGCCCAGATGGAGTCCCCGGCTGTCCACTCGGATCTCGTGTGGACAAGCTGGCAGGAATATTCGCTGACATCTTTAACCTCTCCTTACTTTGATCTGAAGTCCCCACCTGCATCAAGAAGACCATCCTCATCCCAGTGCCAAAGAAAAAGCAAGCAGTGTGCCTTAATAAAACCACCTGGTAGCTCTAACCTCCATAATTGTAAAGTGCTTCAAGAGGTTAATCATGGTTCACATCAACTCCAGCCTACCACATTGCTTTGTCCCTTTGCAATTCACCTACCAGCACAACAGATCCACAGCAGATGCCATTCCCTAGCCCTACACACATCCCTGGAACATCTGGATAACAAGGTCAAGCTGCTACTTATTGATTACAGCTCTGCCTGCAACACCGTAATTCAAAACAAATTCATCGTCCAACTCCAAGACCTAGGTCTCAGCTCCCCCCTCTGTAACTGGATCCTCAACTTCCTGACCCATAGACCACAATCAGTAAGAATAGGCGACAACACCAGTGCCCTGCAAGGCTGCGTAATCGGCCCCCTACTATACTTGTACACTCATGACTGCATGGCTAAATTCTGCCCCAACTCCGTTGACAAGTTTGCTGATGGCACTACCGTTGTAGGTCAGATCTCAAACAACGATGAGACAGAATGCAGGAAAGAGACTGAGTCAGTGCTTGGCAGCACCGTGTAAAGATAATAATCTCTCCGTCAACATCAGCAAAACAAAGAAGCTGGTCATTGACTTTATGAAACACAGTGGAGGGCATGCCCCTGTCTGCAACAGTGGTGCTGAGCTGGAAACGGTCGAGAGCATCAAGTTCTTGGGAGTGACGATCACCAACAATCTGTCCTGGTCCACCCACGTCGATGCAATGGTCAAGAAAGCACAACAATGCCTCCACTTCCTCAGGAGGCTAAGGAAATTTGGCATTTCCACTAAGACACTTATCAATCTTTGTAGATGTACCATAGAAAGAATCCTATCTGGATGCATCAGAATGGAATGGCAACTGTTCTTCTGAAGACTGCAAGAAACTACAGAGAATCATGAACATAGCCCAGTCCATTACGCAAAACAGCCTTCCATCCATTTTGACTTCAGCTATACTTCCTGCTGCCTCAGGACAACAACCAACATAATCAAAGACCCATCTTCTCACCCCCGGTTATACTCTCTTCCACCCTCTTCCATCAGGCAAAAGATACAGAAGTTTGAATAACTGTACAAACAGATTCAAGAACAGCTTCTTTCCCGCTGTTATCAGACACTTGAACAGACCTCTCAAATGTTTCTCTCACTCTCTCTCTCACTCTATCTCTCTCTCTACCTTCTCTGTAGCTTCTCTGTAACACTGTATTCTGCACTCTGTTCTGCTGCCTAATGCACTTTGTATGGTATGATCTGCCTGTACAGCACGCAAAACAACACTTTTTTCACTGTATCTCAGTACATATGACAACCATAAACCAAATCAATTCACCTCATCATTGTCTCGCTTTCCTCCATAATCCTGCACATTTTTCATATAATAATTAAATAGCCTTTTGAAAGCCTAAAGTGAATCTGCCTCCATCACACTCTAAGGCAGTCCAATCTCGACCCTGACCCCGCATATGCATGAAGATGTTTTCCTTGCTGCCATTACTTCTTTTACAAATTACCTTAAAATCGGCCCTCTTGATCTCCAGCCATTCACAAATGGGAACAGTATTTCTCCCTCTCGTCTGGGCAAAACTTATGAATTTGAAAACTTTTATCAATCTCCTTTTAGCTTTTTCATCTCCAAGGAAAACAGTTCCAACCTCTCCGATCTATCTTCATAGCTATAGTTCCTTATCCCTGTGACCAGTCTTGTGAATCTTTTCTGCGGTCTCTTTAATGCCTTCACATCCTTTCTAAAGTATGGTGCCCAGAACTGGACACAGTACTCCAATTGAGGTCAAGCAAGTGTTTTACACCAGTTCAACATAATAAGATGGTTATGTTAAAGGGTCACATCTTTGCTATTTTCTGAAGAAAATAGAAGGCTATCTGTTCAATTTTTCCTGATAAATACAACCTCTCAGTATCAAGCCTGCCAATCCATTGTGCCTTCTCCAGCGCCTGCAAGCCATTTTAAAAACATGGATACCAGAGTTGTAGACAGTAGTGTGGAAGTAGATATTGCCATCTAAATACCCTTGAAACGAACAAATCTGATGTTCAAATTCCTCTAAAGACTATTTAGATGTTAAGTGGGCACTGACGTTTGCACTAACCGTGAAATATGATGTTGAGCACACTTTTGTAACACTTTGGAAAAAATTAATGTGTAGCTCATAGGTGAGTCAAATCACTCATTACTGAGCTAACAGGAAATTAATGGTGTTGGTAATTTGCTGGCAGTAAGGAAATGACTGGGGAACTGCAAAGTCATTGGGCCCTCTGAGCACCTCAGCTAGCTTTGAGCCCTCAAGAGAAGCAATGAGTACAAATCCATCAAAGAAAGGATAGATGAGAAGCTTCAACTTGAAAAACACACTTAAACAATTAATAATTTATACAATAATTATAGTAATAAATAGATTTAATTATTCACATAAACTATGTATATTTCCCCATGTAGAGAGGAGTGTAGGAGCAGCAGTCTGTCATTGAGCCCCTCCAGCCTTCTCTTCTGTAATTAGATTGTGGTTGATCTACACCTTCATTACTGAATCCACTTATAATTATGTTTCAATAACTGTCCTAGACCTCAGGCAATAAAGCTCATGTCAGCTTGCTGAAAAAATCCTGTTAAATATTTTGAAATGAAACAAATCACTTGAGGGCATTAAACTAAAACTGCATTGTATAAATAAATGCTGCATTCTTTGATTCACAGGCTCTGTAGGTTTGCAGCACAGTGAGAGAATGTTGGGCCATTGTTTCTGTCTTGGTATTGGCCTTTCAATTACAATGATCCCAATTTCCAGTTTTGTTCTCCTAATCCTTCCATGTATTTCCTTTTGAAATGCTTATCCATTACACTTTAATGGACGGTAATGGGACGGTGAAGCAGTCTAGGGATTTTGGACTGCTGTATATAGACAGCAGGCTGCACATGAGGTCGTAATTCTCCTTAACCCATCATTGTAAGATCAACTAACTCCTAATTATTTATGTTGAACATTTAGCACACACTGCATGACATACAGACAGCATGCAAAGGTTGTAAGGTTTTAGCTCTTTCTGAAATCGTCACCGTTCAGATCAAAAAAAAATTACTAGATTAAGCTTAGAGAATAGCAGCCATATCCTGGTACGTAGCACTCTTGTTTGACTTGAAGTTGGTGGGCTCAAAACCCCTCTCTTAGACTTGAGAAAAAGATCTAAGCTGACCCTCTAGTGGAGCAGGAAGGGAGTGCTACACAGTCAGAGATGCTAGCTTTCAGATGGAAAGTTAAATCAAAACATGGTTTGTCTTTTTCAGGTGGATGTAGAAGATGCCATTGGACTTGAGTTCTCGCTAGTGTCCTGGCCAATATTTCACTTTCACACTGCTGCTTCAAAGTGCCAGGGACCAAGGTTCGATTCCAGCCTTGGGCGACTATCAGTGTGGCATTTGCACATTCTTCCCGTGTATGTGTGGGTTTCCTCCTACAGTCCAAAGATGTGCAGGTTAGGTGGAGTGGCAATGCTAAATTGCCCACAGTGGCTAGGTGGATTAGCCATAGGAATTGCAGGTTTATGGGGATAGAGTAGGGAGTGAGTCTGGGTGAGATGCTCTTTGGAATGTTGGTATGGACTCAATGGGCTGAATGGCCTGCTTCCAAACCTATAAGGATTTTATGATTCTATTAAAATAGATTATCTTGTCATTATCACATTGTTGACAGCTTGCTTCACATAAATTGGCTCCTGACATTCTTACAACAGTAATTACACTTCAAAAGTACTTTATCTGCTATAAGGTATTTTGGGATATTCTGACATTGTGAAAGGTAAATGTAAAAATTGACGACTTTGTTTTTTTTTAATGGATTGTTTTGGCCATTTCAGCTGACATAGGTATTCACCCAACATGATAATCAATTGACTTAATATCAATATAATGAGGAACCACATTTTTTAGTGAAAATAATTGATTTTCAATTTCCCACACTAATGTCACAAAAAAGGTGGAAAATGTAAAGTGATTCACATCCAGACTATCACAATTCTAAATAGCAGAATGATAGCATTCAATGCAAAAGGTATAGAGAAAACAGAAGATGACTCACTGACTATCAGAAACAGAGTCACTGAGCAGGAACTTATTACATTCCTAATGGCTGTTTACAAACATGGATATAATTTTCTCAATGAGCAATGGAAACAAATGCAAGAATGAAGCATTAACAGTATGCATTTATATAGCATCTTCAACATAATAAAATAAGGCAGACCACACATTAGGCCACATATTCTTGATTCTGTATTTGATTGTAACAAAGCACAAAATATAGAGGAAGCAGAAGCAGAAGGATCCTAGTCAGTCACAGATCCAGCTTCATTCTTGACACATAAAGCTAAACTGGTCAATAATCAGTTTTGATCAATTGTTGTTTGGGATCCTCCCCCTCCTCGCTTCTTTTGACTGTTCCACTCTGGTATTCCTTTATGCTAAAACATATTAAGAGTAAAATCTATCCCAGCAAGTTTAGTTTGTTTGCCAAAAAGTGTTTGACAAAAATTCAGGATGGCAGCACATCATCATTACTTACCCAAGAAACTGTGGGCTGGTTTCTCCTCTACTACACGAATCCTCCTGGCACCAACAGGGATCACAGTGGCTTCAACATAACCTGAGGCAATTAAAGTTAAAAAGATCAGTAAGGTTTTGCTGGAATGGCATTCAGTGGCTTCCTTTACAATGTATCAACCCAGCCATCACATAAAGAGTCAGCAGTCTAAACTACATGAAGAATTCACACACAGTACAGCTTTTAGATACTGACCAATTATGTCTGTTAAGTCTGAGTAGTGCTGAGACTCTTTCAAACTGAAATTAGATATCACATTGAGAGACTGCAGCTCAGCAGGAGGGAGCTGTTAACCAAAGGAAATTTTCAGCACTTCACAGTCTGTGGCTCCTCAGACATTCAATTGCACATGTTCTACCAAGCTCTAATAGGTATGGATAGTACTTCAGACCATCTACACTGTTCCTAATGGGACTTGATCTGTTCCTCAATTCTTATTTAATTTGTTCTCAGGATGTGGGTGACATAGATAGGCGAGCATTTATTGCTCATCATAAGCTGCCCTAAGATGATAATGGAGATTCCCCACATATTAAATTTAGTAATGAGCCATATTTAGTTAACCGCATAATAGTGCGTGAACATTTATCCAATGCTGATCGTAAAATGATCAAGTTCAACACAATATTTGTAAAGTAGAAATGAGAAGCAACTACTAGGATTCTAGATTAAGGTAAGACTGACTTCAATGCAATGAAAACAGACTGTCCAAAGTAATAAAGAGAAATATACTGCAGGTGCTAGAAAAAATAAAAATAAAAGTAACTGAAAAACACAAGTGGTCTAACAGTCTCTGCGGAACACATGCAGTTTCAAGGAGATTGAAATTGCATTCAAAACATTAACTCTGTGTCTCTCTCAACAGATGCTACCAGAACTGCTGAATTTCTCCAGCAATCTCTGTTTTTATTAAGACTGTGTCTACAGTAAACTGGGTAACTATGTTAAAATAAAACAAGGAACTACGAATGGTGGAAATCTGAAATAAAACTAGAAATTGCTGGAAAAACTCAGTAGGTATGGCATTATCTGTAGGAAGACAGCAGAGCTACTGTTTCAAGTCCAGTGATCCTTCTTCAGAACAATTCTCCAGCAATTTTTATTTTTGTTTGGGCAAATATGTTAATGGGTAAAAACCTCATCAGAAGGTTTTTGAAAAAGACTTGTGCAATACTGGCCAGTTTATATCCTGAAGGTGTAAGGGGTCTACTTATCAAATAAAAACAGAGATCTTAGGAGAGAGCAACAACCTAAAACTACAAGACAGCATGAAAAATGCCAAAAATAGGATAGATCTTGGCAAATAGGAAAGATACAAAGAAAGCCAAAGAGTGACAAAGAAGATGGTACTACCTACAAAGAATATTAAAAACAACTTGCAATGAATTCAAAATCAACAATTTTTTACAATTACGTTTGGAATAAGAGGGCAGTCAGGATATTAATGATAGTGTCAATGAACATAAGTAAGCAAGAAGGCATACAATGTTCTGAGGGAGGGTCACCGCACCCGAAATGTTAACTCTGTTTTTTCCTTCACAGATGCTGCCAGACCTGCTGGGGTTTTCCAGCAACTTTGTTTTTGTTCCTGATTCACAGCATCTGCAGTTCTTTCAGTTTTTATAAGGCATATAGTATGCTTGCCATCATCAGTTGGGGCAAGTCGTTGCAGCTATATAGAACGTTAAGTCCACATTTGGAATATTGTGATTGCCATGCTACAAGAAGGATGTTGAGGCTTTGGAGAGGGTACAGAAATGGTAAACTTGGTTTGTTTTCACTTGAATGAAGGATGAGGGGGGCGACCTGATTAAAATTTACAAAATAATGAGAGGCATGAATAGTCAGCATCTTTACCCCAGGGTAGAAATGTCAATTACTAGGGGACACAGGTTTAAGGTAAAAGTGGGTAAGTGTAGAGGAGATGAGGCAAGTTTTTCACACAGAGGGTAGAAAGTGCCTGGAATGCACTGCCAGAGGAGCAGGTAGAGATGGATACAATAGTAAGGTTTAAGAGGCATCTAGAAGATATATGAGTAGGCGGGGACTAGAAGGATACGGGCTGTGCAAAGGCAAAGGTTTTTAGTTTAGAAAGGCATCATGTGTTGGTGGAGTGTTGATAAGCCAAAGGACTTGTTCCTGTGCTGTACTGTTCTTTGTTCTTTAATAAGGAAATGGCACATATCGTGAAGAAATATTTTCTCTCGGTATTTACAACAAGGGAAGAGATCAGTATGTTATAAATCCCAAGAAATCAATCCTGTATCAGAGGCAGTGATGGTTAGGGCTGTCCATGGCTACAAGTGGTTTTCAGTGAACATAAAATGGCTTCGGAAGATTTTTAGCTGAAACAACAGCTTCCATAATCTGTTTGAAGCTAAACTATAAGCTAGTGTAATTAGCTGCCTTCATAGAAGGGGTATATCCAAAGAATCTAGATGAGATAATGCACAAAGGGTCTTAAGAAATGAATACAATGGGCCTTGTGGAACAGATGCAGATCCAGATGCATGCATAGAGACAATTAGATAAGTTACAGCCCTGAGGAATTCTGGTAGAAAGCTCTATACCAAGCTGGTCCAAAGTCTGTATATTCATCATGGGACAGAAGAGAAGGGTCTGACCATCGACTGATCATGTGTTCATGTGATATTAAGACTCCCAGGTAATTGGTTGAGTAGTTAGATGGCAGCCAGCAAAACAGCCTGAGTAACTGTATTTAAACTGCATGTTTTCCTTTGTGCAGAGAAGTCCCTGGACTGACTAGATGTCTTCTCCCCACCAGTGTAAAACAATAAACTCTTTGTTTGAAGTAGACCTGGGTGTCAAGTGATTCATTAGTTATTCCACCCCATCATTTGTTGAAGTTGGCAGGAAACCAGAAGCATGGATCATGAGTACCCTGTATTTGTGGTAATCTGTAACCCTGCTCATTCTGTGTCCCCTAACGGTCTTGTATCTGAACCTGAAAAGGGTCCATTCAATATCAAAGGGTGGTAGATATGGTTGACAGAACCGGAAACGTCACAACCCAACTTAACAACAGACTGGATCATATAAATACCAAGCGGAGTAGAACAACATCGCTTCATCGGAGCGGGGATTTTTGTGTTGAGAAATATACCTGGTGTAGTCAAGTTGGGCCCACAAAAAGCTAGGCTACAATGATACATAACCTAGCTGGATTAATAAGTGCAGAGCTTCAGCCAAGAAACAAAGGATCAACAAGCAGTAGGGGACTTAAAATACGAAGGGACTGCAGAGATTTACAAGCCAGCACGACACGTTGGGGACAGACCCCTCATTCGGGCCATCCGAGACTGGGCAGGGTTTACCCCAAAATGGGTGGGACCATATGATACAATCATGGCCAGTGACACATGCATGTACTTTGATATGAAAGATAAAGGTTGATGGAAACTAAAATTATATAAAAATGACAAATGACAGACCCTAAGATAAAACACACAACAAACATGACCCGATACACAGTAGCATATCAGGAATGAAAAACAGACTGTTTGGGCCTTGGGAATAATGTTAGCACTAATAGGGGTATGGAATATTTTTGGCCTACTAGCAGAACAAGGGCTATTGGGAATGAAGCCTGGATATAAAGGAAAAATGTGAAAAACATAAAGGAGACAGAAATGATAAGGATTTGAACTATAATCCTGGGGTACCCAGGACATACCATGCAGGAATTGTCAAACGGAAATAAACAAAAGGGATTAATTTTAGGTGACCACCAGGTCCCTTTTCTGCTTCAAGTATAGATATAGGAAAAGAAACAATAATGACTGTGGAATGTGGCGATAGTATCTAGGAGCTTAGGACAACTGCTATAAAGAATGACTAAGGAAACACAACCAATTGACAAATGTTGAATGTGACATATATCCTGGGAACAAAGACTGAAGTAATGACAGGACAAATTTGAATGCGTAGCTAACGGTGCATCTGGGCAAAGATGTACTGTATCTCTGTTAAATGCTTACCAAAAAAGAAGACTGAAAAGACAGATGGATGCATTTTTGGAGCCCTTTGTGCCTTGGACTGCAGTCTATGGAACGTGAAAGGGGGAAGGGTGCAGTATGTGGGTATTATGAGGATGTGAGGAATGCCGGTATTATCATTACACGTGTGCTTTTCCCCTGCCACAACAACACCACGTCCTTTCCTCTCTCTCTCAACCCCAAAAGAAGTTAAATGTCCAGAACCAGCGGAGGAACCGATTAATGGAAAAGCCCTGCTGAACAATGGAGAGGTGTTGCATGAAAATGTAAAGCATGAAATTGTACTTGTGCTGATCAATATCTCGGGCATTCAAATGCCAGAGTGTTGCTCAGCACAGTCGAAAAACATATATGATATGTTAACCAATGTTGTAGTATGTCAAGCTACAGATGCACAGGGGCTACTAGATTTAGGGGACGTGAAACCTTCCGCAGACACAAAAGGGAGGTATTAAATGACATTGTAACAGGAGTCAATATTGGAACTTCAATAACTAATTCCTTTGACATTCAGAGCGTAAATGTGAATGTGGAGCGGTTCAGAAAAATCATGAAAGAATTAACAATAAAAGCTGAAGAGGCCCAGAAAGATCAGGCAAGGCTGGGTCAGAAAGCACTGGAAATACAATTAAATGGGGTAGCCCTGATGGAGGCACACAAGACAATACCAGAAAGGTTGACAAGGCCAATTGTGTCATGCATTGGGGCTACGGATGGTAGGCCAGTGAAAACACAACCTCAAAAAGAACCAAAGCAGTCAGTACCTGACTGGATTAATAGCGCACAACTGGCACCACTAACCAAGTCTAAAAGAACACTGCATGACTGAAAAGCTTAAAAAGAGTGTACCCAGAAGTCCTCAGCTGTGGAGCCAGCAATGTTATTGGTATAGGGATGGTTTTGATGGTTAATCCAGAAACAGGGCCCTATTCCCACTATTAGATGAAAAATATTGGCGTTATATGAGAAAACAACTCTCTCCGACACCACTTAATCAGGAATGTGGGGTATCAACCCAGAAACACC